CACCGGAAGCAAGCCTCCGCTTCCGAGATACTTGAAAGTACTTCTCTTGGGGATGACTTGAGTATCGAGCTTCACATCCACGTCAGCTTCAAGGGTCCCGCCGCTAAATTTGCACTCCAAGTACTCCGTTTTGGTCCTGCTCAACTTGAAACCCTTGGACTCCAAGTTCTATCTCCAAACCTCCAACCTTGCGTTAACCCCGCCTCGAGGCTCGTCTATCAACACTATATCATCTGCAAACAACATGCACCAAGGCACTTCCCCTGGGATGTGCCGCGTCAGCACGTCCATCGCCATTGTAACTGGAAAGTGTTCCGAGTCTCCTCCCACAGTCCTCACCCGAGTCTTAGCACCCTCGTTCATATCCTTAATCAACCTAGTGTACCTACCGGGACGCGGTTAACCTCCATAGAACCTCCCTTGGGACTTTATCATACTCTTTTTCAAGGTCAATGAACACCATATGCAAGTCCTTACTCTCCCTATATTGCTGCACTAGTCTCCTCACCAAATAGATAGCTTCCGTCGTCGATCGCCCCGGCATGAATCCGAATTGGTTTTCGGAAATAGACACGGTCCTCCTCACCCCGGCTTCCACCACCCTCTCCCAAACTTTCATGTGTGGCTCCATAGTGTTATACCCCTGTAGTTGTTGCAATTTTGGATATCCCCTTGTTCTTGTACAATGGAACCATCGTACTCCACCTCCATTCATCGGGCATCCTTTTTGTCTTAAAAATAACATTAAACAACTTAGTAAGCCACTCCAAGCCAACGCGGCCCGCATTCTTCCAGAATTCCACCGGGATTTCGTCTGGTCCCGCCACTCTGCCCCTGCTCATCTTACGCATCGCCCTCTCCATCTCTTCTGCCTTAATACGCCTACAATACCCAAAACCACGCTGACTCTCGGAGTGCTCCAACTCACCCAGCACGATGCTTCTGTTCCCCTTCTCGTTCAACAAATTATGGAAGTATGCTTGCCATCTTCGTTTAATATGTGTCTCGTCCATCAATACTCATTTTATTACTTGAAGTCACAATTTCCATTAATTAAATAGTACAAAATAGAATTTACAGGGTGAAATTTAACGACCCGATCGGTCGTTTTGAGCATTTGCACTTCGCTCAGTAGTTTGAGGGTACGAGTATCTCCGCATGATGTATTAGGACTTGTGTGCAAAATTTGAGTTCATTCCGAGTTGATTTGATATGTTTCGGCGCGAGTTTTTTGAAGTCGAAAGTTCGAAAGTTCATTAAATTTGATTTGAGGTGCATTTCGTCGTTTCGATGTTGTTATGCGTGATTTGAGGCCTCGGGTAGGTCCGTGCTATGTTATGGGACTTGTTAGTATGTTCGTACGGGGTCCCGAGCACGCTACAATTAAATTGACTCTCGGAGTGATCCAACTCACCCAGCATGATGCTTCTGTTCCCCTCCTAGTTCAACAATTTATGGAAGTATGCTTGCCATTTTCGTTTAATATGTGCCTCGTCTATCAATACTTTGCCGTCTTCGTCTTTGATGCACTTCGCTTAGTCCAAGTCTTGGGCCTTTCTTTCCCTCACTTTGGCCAACCGGAATAGCTTTTTGTCCCCGCCCTTGCCCCCGAGTTCCTCGTACAGACGTCCAAACGCTGCAGTCTTGGCCGTCGTAACTGCTAACTTCTCCTCTTTCTTTGCCTTCTTATAATACTCTCGATATGTCTTTTTATCCTCCTTGTCTATACTCTCCACAAGCTTCAAATAAGCCGCTTTCATGGCGTCCACCTTACCTTGGACCTCTCCATTCCACCACCAGTCCCCTTTATGACCCCCAGAATAACCCTTCGTGACAGCTCCTATAGTGTTTGATTAAAAATGGTACTCTGAAGTGTATTCTTGTGACAGGGAATCTATTTTAAGTGTTGACTAGGGAATGCAAGATATTGCAACCTTGTTATGAAGTTGGGTAAAAAAAAACCTTATAATACAACCTTGTTACGAAGTTGGGAAAAAAAGGAGCTTATTATCCATTCTCATGTTCTCTTCAGTTAATCATACCAAATTACTTGGGAAGACTGTCATAGATCATGATCAAAATAAAATATGATCTACTTTTGAAATAATCCTTTCTCGTCTCTTGCATGAATCTGTAGGCTTCTTTTGTAATTTTTTTTCTTTTGGCTAGTATCTGTCTGCTTACATGTCAATGATACATAAATCTTTCTGGATTCATCAGAGTTTGAATTACTTGTACTCCTTTTATTGATTGTGTTCATCTTTCAAGGTGATCAATATACTCCAAGAATTTGGAGCTTCTCATTGATTGAGTTCTAATTTTCTTCACTAGATGTATGATAACAAGAAGAGACAATCCTGATGGCTCACTTTGGAGACTAGCAGTTGAAGGTTTTATTCGCATTCTGCTCGATGATGTCAAAAAACTGACAGAGAAAGCAGGGCCAGAGTTGACTATTACCAGACCTGCAAGAATGCGTATTTGGAAAGAAGTTGCTGACATTTTTGAGATATTTCTAATAGGCTACTGTGGTCGTGCACTTTCAGTGACGGTAGACAGTGCTGATGAGTCTCTTGAGATGAATCTCTTGGATATTCTTGGAGACAAAATTCTCAAATCACAGACTGATGCACCTCTTGACGTAACGTTCCAATCCTAATCTTTTTAGATATTCTCACTCTAGTTCTTTCACTTTACAGCTGCACATATTTAGTCATCTCCGACAAACACTTCATTTTGGACCACTGGTACCTTCCATGCTAATGAACCTTGAACATTTTTGGAACTTATGTATGCAAGATGTGCTTATGTGTTTCATAAGTTCCAAAAGGTGTAGATCTTTCATGTCCACTCTTCTTTGAGAAGGAATTAAAGGCTATCTATCATGGTTTTATCTACATCTATTGCGTGCCACTAGGCATTAGCCAATGGTTTTTTTATGAGTATGCCCATTTTCTTTTTGGTTTTCTAACTACCAAGTCCAACAAATAGCCAACCACCTAACATCTTTTTGGGGCCATTGTTTGTATAAATGATTTAACAACAGTTACCTCTGCAGGTAACTGAATCCTCGAAAATAGGTTAGGGGAAAAGATCATGTACATTTCAGGTGACACAGCTCTGGTCAGTAAATGTGAGATTATAGGAATTATTTATGGCCTTTTGCAGGATTAGATATAGAAATCAGCTGTGAATTAATAGCCCAGACTGTGTGGCTTGAGAAGTTCAGCAGATGATAAAATATGATATTTATCCAGTTTTACAGCTCAGACTTCTTGCTTACTATAACAGAGTTATTTTTCCATTGCCACTTAAAGTTGTATGCCCGTTTGCATTGATATTTTCTAATGATGCATTGAAGGAGTAAACTTCTAGATCAAGCATAACGCTAATCATGCCAATTTTGCAGATTCTGGAACGTCTAATCACCACTCTGGATCGGTGTGCATCACGTACATGTTCCTTGCCGCTTGAGACTGTCGAACTGATGCCTTCACATTGTAGCAGGTTCTCCCTGACCTGTTTGCAGAAGCTGTTTCTTCTGTGCAGGTATATAATTCCTTTTAATTGACACTGCCTTACCTGTTTTCCATGTTTGCGGTGATTGCCATTTCACACTCATTTCACTTAGTTTCAGCCATGGAACTGGTGAAGGGACTTCAACTAGATGTGAAGTTAGCAATATATCAATAAAATTATTAATGACCAGATGTGAGTTCATTCTGGGAAGGTTCTTGATGGATGGGAGCAGATTAGGTGGGTGATCTAGTTATGTTGAAAGGGATTTTAAATGCTTCCATGTTTGTTATTCTTGTTTTCTTCAAGCTTATTTCTTAAATCATACAACCACTCTTCAGGAGAAAATCCATTGCCAGCAGCACGTGTGGAAGAAGTTATCTTTGTCCTCCAAGAGCTTGCACTTCTTGTGGTTCATTCCGACACTGTATCCCAACTTAATTTACATCCATACTTGAAAGAAGGCCTTACAGGAGAGAATCAAGCAAGGCGTTCGCATTTACTTGTTCTTTTCCCATCCTTCTGTGAACTTGTCATATCAAGGTAAGCTTGTGAAATGACGAAAGAGGACGTGGTCGAACTCTAGATTCTGTGTCTGGGCATCTTTTGTTTAATGGAGCTATAACATATTGTAGTTATTTCATAGTGAACTTTTGACTCTTCCTTTCTGTTCATTTTAAAAGAAATTAGAAGTAGATATCTAATATGAGGTAAATCTTTATTAGCAGGGAAGCAAGGGTGAGAGAATTGGTGCAAGTATTGCTAAGACACATCATAGTTGAGTTAGGACTACAGAAGTCTACTTGAGCAATTTGAAAGAAACAGAAGGTTGGCATTTTCTCACAGTTGGCTCCTAATTTGTCCATACGAGTCTATTATATGAGGAAACTTTTGGTCTTTCTCCAATTTTTGGTGTTTCATAATGTATATCTTTGTGCATTAAGCCAAAATGAAGAACTCGAGAAAACACGGTTGGTGTCGAAACCGAGAAACATTCTTGTACATTATTGTATGTATTTTTGTATTCTAGCAGATTTTGGAAAGAAACTATTACTAGGAAAGTACATGTGGGCAGCTTTCCTTACCAATTTAAGCCCAAGTTTACATTTCAAAATCCTCAGTTTTTTTTTTAACCTCATAAAAATATTTTAATTCACAATTACAATCATAGCTTGTCTCTATAAGGTGAGAGTGGCAAGTATTTTCTTATGTTAAATTTTGTATTGGACAAGAAAAGAATTCCACCAAAGGCCTAAAGTCAATCTCAGGGAACATTGAAGCTTCGTAGGATCTTCCTGTGCAGGTGCAGGTAGTTCGCATCTTTACAAACATGCCAACTTGTACATGTATTTAAAAATTACAAAAATAGAAACTGAATGCATCAATGTCTCCTTTGTTCTCTCTTCTCCCTGTTTCTTCATCCTCTCTTCACCTAAGACTGAATATACTTGTCCACAAACCCCCCCCCCCCCCCCCCCAAGTACTTGAAAAAGAAGAGAGTAATTAAGAAAGTCTTATTACTATATTTACATCATTAGAAATGTTTTATATTCTCAATTTTGGACATTTACATGATTTAGAAATTTTTGTAAAGTTCATTATATTATAGTGTTTGGAGCTCAAATCGTGGTTGAGTATTGATTTTGTAAGATTTGGATGGTGAAAATTAGATTAGAAATGTACCTCCACCATTGTTGAACAAGCGTAAAGAAGTGGATTTGAATTGTGGATCTAACTTGTGTGAAAAATTTGAAGTTGGTGTTGTTTAGATTTGTTGGAAATTGTTGGAGAAAAAAAATATATGCGAGTTTAAACTGATAGCTACATGGATGCACTGTGTTATGTTAGGCTGTATATTTATGCAAATTTCCCTTTTTGAAAACCTGGACTATTGATCCATAGAGTCCATTTCTTCCATAGCTTATGCTCTTTCGAAGCGTTTACGTAATCTTGCCTCTTTCGTGTTATATTGCTCGAGTGAGTTATTTTGTTTTATGTTTAACATTCTATGCCTCCCTGACATTCAAAGGGTCTGGTATTCCTTTGAATAATATGCGAGTGGGTGCAGATATATGATGCAGAAATGCTCTTAAAGGTTCCTTTTTCAGGTCTTATATTGAAGCGTCCTCACAGACGCATACCTATACATGAAGATAGTAGGTTAGCAACGTACCTACATTTTGGTTCACTTGAATATCCTTACTAGTTTTTATCAAAACATTAAAAGTGAGGACCTTTATGTCATTTTAACATAAATTTCGCCCCATTTCATTTCCATCTCCGCTACCATCACCTAAGACTTCATTCACTATATATAGATTAGCGCTTAAAGAGACTAAGGAGGAGGCCATGGTTATTCAATATTCACCAGAAAAAGATGAAACACAACTTCACCGTCTTCATCAAACAGCGCAATACTTCACCAAAAGCTGCATTTTGTTCTGATTTGTGTATCTATGAAGGCGTTTCAGGCTTTTCTTTCACATCTCAAGAGTTATAATTGGTGTAGAGATATGTTCAAGATTACATTTTAAATTAGACTCATGTTTGCTTAAAGTTGGTGTGTGTTGGTAGTTGCCACCTATGTTCCCTAATCATCGCTTCAACCTCTATGAACTATTTTTCACATTTCTTATTCCACTCAGACCCTGTCTTGTCAGAGGGATTGCCATTTTCTCGAGAGAATAAGAAAAGCTACTCAGATAGTTTAGGTCAAATCTAAAGTAATAAACTGACTTTAGAGACTAAGAGAATTATAATGAAAAATAAAAATGGGTACAATTCATATAGTAGGCTTGCAAGACACATACACACGCATATGTATTTATGTATGTATATATATATATATATACATTCCCTGGTTTATCTTTGATATTTTTTATCCATAAGTGATGATGAAAAATAAATCAAAATGATGGAATTGCAAAAAAGAATCCAATCTGTGGTTTTCTTGTGGCTAAATTAATCTGGATATACACAAGGAAAACAAAGGACTATCTTGGATCAAATATAGATCTGGTTTGAGAAGCTAAGAGAACACTAATTCTCCTATCTAATTTGATGAATTGTAGTAGGAAACAATTAAAGCTTTTTTAGCAGTTACAACTTCCACTCCCTGCTACAAAGCTTTCTACATTATAAAATTCTCGTGTGAAAATGTGAAGCCTTTCGTTCAACTTCCTCATTTAACAGTTTGTTTTCAAGAGGGTTGTTTGCAAAAGTACCCATAGCCATAATTTCCTCGTCTCCATGATGGCTTCCATCTGAGTTGAAGCCCATGGATTGATACGCCCCGCTATATAAGGTGATGATCAACATGACTATCTTTATGAATGCTTCCAGCCAGAGGCGAATCCAAGAATTCGAGAAGATGGGTGCACCGTCACTTCAAAGACAAGCATGCTTCAAAGATAAACACTCAGTTTCATGATATAAACTTTTACAAAAACAACTTCTCTAGCAATAATTATCCAATTCCATTATCTCAAAAATACATCATCAATTTATATTTATACTCTACGAGCTTTCATATTTTAAAAGCAATCCATAATAGCATCATTACTTACAATTACAAATACCTTATGCTCTACATTGCAAACTAAACAACCATTCAAAAATTCATCACCAATGCTATTACGTAGATCATTCTTTATGAGCTTCATTGAGGAGAATGCTCTTTCCAAACTTGCCGCAGCAACAGGTAAAATCAACGTTAGCTTCACAAGTAAATAACAAGACACCAAGTTTGATTTAATTTTGTTTTGGCCATCACTATCGCAAGATGCCAAGATCCTTAATTCCTTTCAAATTGAGAAACACGCTATCACACTTTCGAGCATAGACAATGAAACTATCAAGCTAGTAACTGAGATCCCGAAGCTCCCTATTACCAAACTCACTTAGATAATACTCGGCCAACTTCATTATTCTATATTTGTCAAAATTAACAAATAAATCAACCGTATTCAAACTAGCTATACCAAAGAGTAAGTCACTAGTCACTACATCAAAACGATAATTGAGCTCTAGGAGTTGGAAATCAATAATAGCATAAAATACTTCCACACGAAAGTGATGTGAATATGAAACATCTAACCTCTTACGCTTCGACCTTGGATAGTTTTCATCCATTTTGGGAATTAAAATACCATGTTTACCACAGAATGAGTAAACCTCATCCCTCAAAGACTCTAATTCACTCTCTCATTGTTTACAGTCTTGTCTTTGCAAGGTCAAATAACCTCATAGCATTGACGATATCTTGATCTTTTTTTGTAGAGATTTATTCAACTCATTTGTAAGAAGCAACATCTTGAACATCAAGTGCAACATAAACACAAATTCAAATTCTTGAATATTATCCAAAAGATTTTTTTGCTGCAAATCTATCAAGAGAAAGTAGACAATCCTGTTGCATATCTTTCAGCACATTAACAATTGAAGCAAATATAATCATCAAATTTTCCAAGGTCTTAAAATGTCACGACCCAATTTCTCCCTCATTGAACCGTCGTGACGGCACCTAGTCTCTACGACTAGGTAAGCCTAACACTTTGCGAAAATGAAACAAAAGCATGAACATTAACTACTAACAGTAATAAATATCTAATAAGCACTTAATGCCACTCGGCATATACAATTATCACCTCTGAAAAGTACAAAACAATTCCCAAAACCGGAAACCCGCAAGTCACAAGCTACTAAGAAGTCTTAATTATTCTATACATCATTTCTACAGAAAGAAGGAAAAGGGGGACTCCGAGGATCTGCGGGCGCGGCAGATGTACCTTGAAGTCTCCAATAGGCAGCAACAACTGCAACTAGTGATGAGGCTGGTAACCTGAACCTGGATTTGCACACGAAAAACATGTGTGGGAAATGGCGTGAGTACTCCACAATGGTACCCAGTAAGTGCCAAGCCTAACCTCGGTCGAGTGGTGACGAGATCGGGTCAGGGACCTACTGTATAAATATAATGAAATAAGACAGAATGAAATATCGCAGTAGAAATAAATACGAAAATTTAATAGGAATAGAATTCAATGAAAGCCAACAGCTCAGAATCAATGGAGACACCTATTCAAGTAAGTGCCTCCTGAAGCAGCCTCGTCGCATCAGCAGGATCAGCCAAAACGTCCTCCTTGGGGACGACAACTGAGCCCGTGTGTAAACCTGATTTCAGGAAAAAAAAGGAAGAAGGGATCAATCAATTTCCTCGTGTAAAAAGAAGAAACGAAATAAGTCTAAGTTACCATGATTTTTGGCATTCCACTCGTATTTGAGGGCCAGTTCTTTCCACGTGCGGGTTTCGGGCGTAGTGACGTCCAAGATTTTGGACCCACTGGTCCAAGCCTTCAAACCTAGGTGGAACCCATCGAGTTTCTGAAACAGGCGAAGGACGGAGGATCAATACGGATATAAATTTTTTTTAATGAAAGAAATATTAAACAAGGAGCTTACGAGTGCGGGTCCATGATTCCGGAAAGTATGAAGCCGTTGCCGGAATGATATCATTGGTGGCAACTGCAACGAACCATTCCATCCACCCACGGTCGTTGTCAACATCCATGCTAGATAATAGAGCATGGTTGTGATGACCTAATAGGTCATCTTATGAATTAAAACCAAATTCTGTGTTCCGAGGTCTTAAAAACCTCATTTTATCCCTCCTCGATTTACGTGCGCAGTCCGGGCGTGTTTCCGAAAAGCTTTTATGTTGAAAGTTGATAAAAATAAGAAATTTTGATTAAAAAAAACTTCATTTGAGTTGACTTTGATCAACAATTTTGGTAAACGGACCTGGATTCATGTTTTGACAGTCCCGGTGGGTCCGTATAAAATTATGGGACCTGGAGGTATGCCCGGAATCGGAATCGGAGGTCTTTAGCTCGAGTTATGAATTTTTTTTGAAAATTGAGAGTCTGAAAATTCAATGGTTTTTAAGAAATTCTTAATGTTTGATCTTGTTGGTATCGGTTCCTTATTTTGGTTGCTGGAGCCCGGTACAGGTTCAATATAATATTAAGACTTGTCTGTGAAATTTGATGAAAAAGCGGAAGTGGTTTGACGTAATTCGGACGTCCGATTGAGAAAATAGAAATTTCAAAGTGTTCTTGATAAATTTCATTTGATTTGATGCTAAATTCATGGTTCTAGGTGTTATTTTGGTGATTTGATCGCGCGAGCAAGTTTGTATGATGTTTTAAGACTTGTGTGCATGTTTGGTTGGAGCCCCGAGGGCTCGGGTGAGTTTCGGATAGGCCACAAAGTGTTTTGAACTTAGAAATTTGCTGGTGTGCTTCAGTTCTTATTGCAGAGCCTCTGGTCTCGCAATTGCGAGACAAATCTTCGCATTTGCGACCACTGTTGGGTTCGCATTTGCGAAGAGTAGCTGTGGAGGCCAATGTTCGCAATTGCGAATAATCCTTCGCATTTGAGAAGGGAGTCTGGGAATGGCAGGGATCGCAATTGCGATCATTTGGTCGCAATTGCGGTTGGCCAGGCTCGCATTTGCGAGACTTTCTTCGCAATTGCGAAGGAATTAGGAATGGGGGGACCTTCGCAGTTGCGATAGGTTCTTCGCAATTGCGAAGCTCAGGTCACAAATGCGATACCTACAACTGATCAAAATGACTTTTGGACGGGATTTTTCATTCATTCTCCAAATTTTCAAAACCTAGAACACAAGAGGCGATTTTCTAAAGACTTCTTCTTCCCCAAATCATAGGTAAATGATTCTTAACTAGTTTCTTTCAATCTTTCACTTCATTTTACAATATTTCAACCTAGAATCTAAGGTTTTCATGGTGGAATTGGGGATTTTTGTGTAGAAATTAGGGATTTCGAAACTTGGGGATTTAGACCTCAAATTGAGGTCGGATTCCAAAACCATTTGTATATCCGCACTCGGGGGGCGAATGGGTAATCGGGTTTTGGTCCGAATTTCGGGTTTGGACCAAGCGGACCCGGGTGTTGACTTTTGTTGACTTTTTCGTGGGTGATTCCTAAGGCTTATTTTGAAACGTTTGGTTGGTAATTTGCTAGATATTGTTGGTTCGGAGGCGTGTTTGAAAGGCAAAGCTGTGATTGAGCTTTGAGTGGCCTTGAGTTCGAGGTAAGTGGCTTGTCTAACCTTGTGTGTGGGACTCCCCTTAGGATTTGGTACTGTTTGATATATGAGCGCTGTGTTCGTGAGGTGACGAGTGCGTACATGGGCTATTGTTGAAAATCCCCGTTTTCATTAAGCAAATATCTGTTTTTCCTTTAATTGAGCAACACTAGCATATGTAACTATCCTATTTAGTTTAGGAAAGCATGCCTATGTGCCTTAACTGCCTCAACTGCCTATCTGAACTCTGTGTAGCATGTTTAGTGAAATTTCTTGTTCTTCCTTGACTCGGATTTAGCCTAAATTGCGGTTTCTTGTTGTAGCTGTTATTTCTATTGGTTGACATGCATATTTACTTAGGGACTACGGAACGGTATTCCGGTAGATCCCCCTACATATTTACTTTGGGACTACGGGACGGTATCCTGATAGATCCCCCTGCACATTTACGTTTGGGACTACAGAACGGTATTCCGGTAGATCCCCCTGCACCTTTACGTTTGGGACTACGGGACGGTATCCCAGTAGATCCCCTGTTGTTATCTCTGCGTTTGAGCTGTTCTTCTTCCATGCTTACATTCTTGTTAAATTTCCGTATTTATTCTTACTGCAATATTTCATTCTGTTATACTTTATCATATATATACTAGTAGGGCCCTGACTTGATCTCGTCACTACTCGACCGAGGTTAGGCTTGGCACTTACTGAGTACCGCTGTGGTGTACTCATGCCCTTTCCTGTACATGTTTTTCGTGTGCAGATCCAGGTACCTCACATCAGCCACATTATCAGTGAGGCGAGCCAGCTGTAGAGATTTCAAGGTACATCTGCCGTGTCCGCAGACCTCGGCGTCCCTATCTACTCTTCCCCCATATCGACACTTCCTTGTATTTCCTTTTGTTAGACTCTGAAGTATAGAAATATTATTTTCCTTCTGTATTTTGTGACTTACGATATTCCGGATTTTGGGAGTGTTTATGTTCGGTTTAAGAGTGATTATTGTATATGCCGAGCGGCATCTAAATTCCTTATTTAAATTTACCTGTTAAATTGTAGTTTTCATGTTTTCGTCTCATTTCCGCAAAATGTTAGGCTTACCTAGTCGTAGAGACTAGGTGCCGTCACGACGGTCTGCGGAAGGAGAACTTGGGTCGTGACAAGTTGGTATCAGAGCTCTAGGTTCATAGGAGTCGTGAGTCACAAACCGTTTTATTAGAGTCTCGCGGATCGGTACGGAGACGTCTGTACTTATCTTCGGGAGGCTATGGAACTGTTAGACAAATTTTACTTTATTTGATTCCTTTGTCGTGCGAAATTATTGACTTCGACATTCTAAATTTCTGTCTCCTATTCTCTCAAGATGGTGAGGACACGTGCAGCTGGAGATGACCAGGCACCCGCGCCCCCTACTAGAGCCGCCCGAGGCCGTGGCCGAGGTAGAAGCCGAGGAAGCACACATGGTACGGCCAGAGCACCCGAGCGAGCTGCCACAGAGGAGCCACCAGTAGCTCCAGTCGGAGCGCAGGCACCCGAGACGCCTACTACTACCACTCCAGCACTTCAGGAGACTCTGGCACAGTTCTTGAGCATGTTTGGTACATTGGTTCAAGCGGGGTGGATTTCGGTGGTACCAACTACTTCGCAGACCGGGGGAAGGACCTAGACTCCCATTACCCACACTCCAGAGCAGCGAGTTCACGTTGGCCAGGTTCCAGGTGACATGGCAACATAACTTGTGGTCCCATTTCAGCAGGTGCTAAGGATTGCTCGCCGAGTAGAGGACAGGTGGGTCCAAGAGAGAGAGGACAGACGAGGTCAGGAGAGAGAGTACAGGGAGGCGAGGAGACCTCGTAGACCGGAGAGATCCACTGGTCCTCATTTTGGAGGCAGGGTACGACATGGTAGAGGTTTTGTGGGCCAGCCAGTTCAGTTTGCGTTTTAGGCTTGTTCAGGGGTCTCAGAGTACCCGTACCGCACAGTTACCACAGCCACGAAAGCAACGAGGTTGTTTTGAGTGTGGCGACACTCGCCATGTGGTGAGAATTTGCCCCAGACTTGGGAGGGGTGCACCTTCATTGCCTTCTCAGCCAGAATGTGCTCCACAGGGTTTCCAGGCTATGATTACAGCACCAGCTGCCACTCCACCTGCTCAGCCAGCTAGAGGTGGAGGTCGGGGTGGTAGAGGTCGCCCTAGAGGGGGAGACCCGGCCAGATACTATGCCCTTCTTGCTTGTACAGAGGTTGTTGCTTCCGATTCTGTATTACAGGTATTGTTCCGGTCTGTCATAGAGATGTATCGGTTTTATTCGATCCAGGCTCCACTTATTCCTATGTGTCCTCTTATTTTGCCCCGCATTTGGGCGTATCTCGGAATTCTTTGAGTTTCCCTGTTTATGTGTCTACTCCTGTGGGAGATTCTCTTGTTGTGGACCGCGTTATCGGTCGTGTTTGATTATTCTTAATGGTTTTGAGACCAGAACCGATTTGTTATTGCTGGAAGGACGGATGGAAGAAGGGTATCTGCCAACAGCCCACGTGTGAGGGTTAGCCGAAGGGAATTTCTCTTTGAAGTTTTTTATTGTAACAAGACATCTAGGGATTATGGTGCCCACTGTTGGAGGAGTAGCGTCCTCGGCTTTTCTCTTGCTCTTTGAAGAGCTGGTGTTCTTTGAAGAAGAAGCCATTATATGTTACGGATGAAGGAAAAGCTTTTTCGTTTGAAGGAACTTAAAGAAAGGTTGAAGAACAATAAAGAAGGTTTTAGGAAGTTTGGAGAGTTATGGAGTATGAGTGAAGAAGATTGATGCGTATAAGTAAAGGTTTAGGTGTCTAAATTTGTGACCATGATTACCTCGATAACCAGCGAAAGCTATGTTGAATCGTGGGATGATGCGTGTTCGGGGCATTAAATGCGGAGAGACTTGCATCTAATCAATTGTCAGAAACTTTTCAGAAGGAATCATAGTAGTTCCCGCCAAAAAGAGTGTTTCTACCAATTTCCCGGTGACGAAAATTTATGCCATCGGAAAGCAGGGGGGCTATCTGTATACGGTAAAATACGCTATGCTAAGTGGCCGCTTAAGAGAGTGACACGTGGAAATTAAAGCCGGGGACAATTAGAACCAAAGGCAATTATCCTGTTTGTCACTGGAAAGAATGATACCTATAAAAATGCAATAAATGCCCTCCGATTGGTAGCATTTAATGGAGAATATTCCACAACATTTAGTGCACTGCCCGTTACAAAGAATTTGTCATTTATGCTCACCGTCACACCTTCATCAATGGCCCTCATAATTGACATTAAAGAAGGGCGCGATCCTAGGACCTTGTTCCCTAGACATAGTTATAAATAGTGAGCTCTGTTATCATTGTAAAGGGGACGACTTTTCTGGCAAACTTACGCTATAATTGATTAAAAGCTTTATACAATTTTACTTTTTTGTTCTTTAGTTTCATCATTGTTTTGCCCGGAAGCTCTGCCTCTGGAATTACTGTTTTTCGTGATTTCATCTTCATTTCAAGGCTAAGTATTGCACATTTCTTTAATTATTTCATTATTTTAGGATCAAATTAATTCACATGTCTAGACACCACGTATAAATTCAACTGTACCATTTTACGGGTAAACACAAACATAATTAAAGCAGAATGTAAAATTAAGAAGAAAAAAATTCATGAATTCTATAAAGAGAGAGGAGAAAACTCAAACATATAGATAGATCCGGAGGAGCCCAAAAGAATTAAATAACTCACCCAAACAAAGATGACACCTCGAACTCTTGCGGTACCAAAGCAAGCAGAGAAAGAGAGGATATTAAAAGAGTGAAATCTAAAGAGATAGACAATTTTGTAGAGAGTTGTAGTATCAAATAGAAGTACACGTGGTTTGGTAAAGTAGAGATATAGTGCACGTATTAATCCACCAATAAGATGTGCCCAAACATAAATTACAAATCACAATGTATTTTGTACAATTCAGAATTGCTGTGTTCGTACACCCATTCTCACTTATATATTGAAGTAAAGTAATGCATATATATAT